GGCGGGAATGGAGGGTAAAAACCGTTGGGATATTATTATTATTATTAATTACTTTTATTTTAATCTTTTCTCTTCTATCTTAATCTTTGCTTCTCATCTTTTTCTTTATATTTATTTTTGTTTTTACTTTATCTTTGTTTTTACTTTTATGATTATCATTTTCTTCATCTACATATTCCACTTTACCTTTGCCCTTGTATAAGCAAAGTGTTTAAATTTTCCTTGGTCTTCATTGTTGCCTTTATCTTTACGCATCTTTGGTTTTGTTTTTATTTTTACCTTTGCCTTTATCCTTTTCTTTATCCATGTACGTACTCACCTTTACTTTCAACCAACGTATTTTTCTAAGTGTTATTCTTTTAACCTTTTATTAGCAAGCTTTTGTTAAATTAATATCATACATTCAAGAAGCACTTGTTTCTGTACCAACCATTTCCGTGTGCAATTTCCGTTGAATTTGCCAATTTACTCCGAACCAACCAACCGCCGCTAAAGAAGTTTCACTTCAAAATACGTTTATGAGTTGCTTCAAATTGAACTAATAGCATATCAGCCATAAACTCTATATTTACCTACATATGAACATATAATGTATGTGGCGACAATAAAATACATTGGCCGTAAAGCATAACCTTTACTTTAAATCTAGCACCTCATAAAATCCTCAAACGTACCTGGATACCATATATTTATATATGTAGCAGTGTAATAAAACAAATCGATATGTCATTACACTCAATTACGTGATTAAAAACAAAAACGTGACAGAGGAGACGTAGTGCAGGACTTTCAACACATATGCTATTGCATATGTATGTACATTAGTGTGTATATAGATATGTATCTATGTATGCATTGTCATCCTTTTATTTGTTGCTCTTGCGTCATAGAATAATAAAATACGTAAACCGTAACTACTTAGGTATTCAGAACATATGGCAAGTTTAAAAATCGATGTCCCTACCCTACCACTGACGTTCTTGTAGATGTCTAAGTAGTTGAAAATTATATTAAAACCAAGACACCAAAGTTATATGAAAGATAGTGCAGATTATAAGATAAAGTGAATTACGCTAATCCCGCTCTGAATTCAACATCTTTCTTTATAATTTTAGTGAAAGGTACGCGGCGTATACGTAACATTGTATTCAGCTCTTATAAGTGAACTAGGGAGCAGTTGCGTTTATGGAATTCCAATTAATGTGAGATAAGAGCATATATGTATGAATATAAACAAGAAGGAGAGACATATTTCCAAAAGAAAGAAAAGAGAGGCTAAAAACGCGAGTGCGAAGTGCTTCAGATGTTGGCAGACGGTAATGCATTCCCGCGAATACTACTTACCAAAAACTAAAGCGGAAATCAAATGGTTTCAAGAGCTGGATTGCGTTGCAAGATGGAAATATGGTAACCGGCATTCAGAGTATACACATGAGAGCTGGATGCAACACCTCTAAACACTCTTGTTAGGCGACCAATATATAGGAATGAAGCTCATGTGAAAAAAATGTGGGCAGGTCTAGTAAAATCCTTTCAGGACTCGACTATCGTTACTGAATACTTATCTTGAGCATAGTTTAATTTAGGCCTAAAATGGTCACACATTTTCGTAAAGACCGACTTGCATTTTCACGGTATTTGTACTTTGGCATGCACCAACTTTTAGTATAGGAGAGTTAACCAATTAAATTATAAAACATCCAAATTCTGGTACGGTGGTTGAGATTATATTTTATTCTGATAAATTTATTATTGCATAAATGTATCCCCAGTTTTAATTAATTAATCAAACTAAAATTCTAATTGCAAGCATCGCAGTGAATTTCAAAAATGCTTACAATCATCAAACTTTAATGCGACGGGGTTAAAATTGCTGAGGCTATTGCAAATATATTCATACTTAAGAGTACTTACATATGTATGTATATGCATTAATGCTTGATTCCATACTTGAGGGCATAATAAAGTATAACAAGCAAATCCTCTTGCTTTTACATATTCATACCTGCATATGTATGTACGTATGTGGTAGACAACGATTAACATATGAAAAATTTTGGCACAATAGCACACATTGTTTCTGTTAATTATGTTGGCGCTTTACTGCAGCCAAATCGGCTTAACTCCGCCAGTTCATTAAACGAACAATGGCACCGCGTATTTATGATAAGTACTGCAGGCATTACATAGCTTAAGAGCTTTAATATTTATTGTATTTATGGTAAAATTTGGCAGCTCCGTATACAACATTTCAAATAATATATTGTAAAGCTTATACATATGCACATAACTGCAAAGAAATTTCTGGGCTTCTGAGGGAAGAATAAAATACATACCTACTCTTTTAGGAATGACAATAGAATTTTTCCCCAAAAGGAGGTAATTTCAGCCCAACGTAAAAAAAAATTCTGTTTCCGTGGGGAAAAATCATCATGGTGCTTGACTACCACAAATTGGCACTAATGATTAGGTATGCTAATTTGACAGTACTCTTTTGTCTTTTAATATTTTGAACAAGGAATAACGTTTCCTTTATGATTTTTACTTAAAAAAAAAAAGACAAAGCAAAGCGCTTGTTCATTATTCATTTCCTAGGCGTTGATAAAAGCAGGGATAAGTCTGAGATATACTTTTGGAATTGGGTTTTGCTAAAAGGTGCACAAAACAAATGCGAAAAGTCTCAAAAAAGTCGAAAAAGCGCAAAAAGTCTCAGAAAATTATACACGTAAAGCTCCAAAAAGTCTCCTAAAATCCAAATAGGTTTCGAAAGATTCTGGTAAAGAAAAATAGCGTCCAAAGCCACCCCGCAAAAATTTCAAAATTTTTCGCAAAATAGCGAAAATAACATACCTACTAAGATTCTCTTAAAGCTCCAAGGGAAGTCCTGAACTTTTCCGAAAAATCACGAAAAAATCTTGAAAAGTTTATAAGGCTTACGAAAAATCCTCTAGCAATTATTACGTACATATGTATATGTAAGTATAGTTTACCTAATATTTTTTTATTTTTTCCTTAAAAATAAATAGTTTAATAGCAAAAAGGAATTGACATTTTTTTACATATGAATGGCAAAGTTTTTAACAAAGCCAATTATTTTTTTTATGATACACAACCGAAAGATATCGTTATGAATTTTTTATTTTATCTACATACATATGTAAAAGAAGTGCAGGCTATAATTCTCCCTATGGCAAAGAAGGATGATGGGTATGAAGTTCAGCGTACATGGAAGGTGTAAATGTTACTCATACGCCCTGTAGGATTCTGCTAATATTTTTATATTCCACTTAAAGCTATTTTCACCAAAATTATCTACATACATTACTTTTAGATAGCTGTGCTATAATATACCCTCGTACATATGTATGTACATCCATACATAATATTATCTACATAAATGCATGTAAGGGCAGTTTTCACAATGTGAATTACAGAAAAACATCTTCGGCAGTAAACTTTAAATTATGTGTGTACTCAAAGTAAATTTTATACTGTCAAATGCGTAAACGGCCGAAATGTTTTCTTATTTATAGCTACTTCAGTTTCTACTTACATTTCAACACGTTCGACTTTTATGCCCCATGCGTCAGTTGCTTCATCCAGTTGAACCTTCAGCGTAGAAATTCATTTAGAAAGATGCCAATTTTTCGTCATATTTACAATCGTAGCCAGCGGCAAAGTATTGTGTGATAGCAAAATGTTGATTTGTTGAATGGCAATCAAAAGCCATAACCATGGTTGTGTTAGCATCAGCATGCAAAAAAAAAAACAAGCAAATACAATTGGAATTTTATTAGTTTCAGATTTCTAACCCTTACACAAATAACTCAATATGTAAGAATACTCGTTTAAGGCGATCGTAAATTTTTTATGAGCCTGAAAATGTGCGTAGAGATTTAAAATTGCTGCTGCTGTTGAATTACAATCTTACCAATCGCCCAATCCAAAATTTGGTTAGTATATATATATGCCGCATTGTGTTGTTTTTGCAGAGAACCCTTGCATCAAGAGGCTGCTCATTCAAGTTTTAAACAATGAGCATGGCAGCCGTTTTTAAAGTCTACATTTGGTGGTACATATGTACATTTAAGTTGTGGTAAGCTTGTGCAGTCGAACTTTTTTTAAAAGCTTAATGCAGCTTAAAGATAGCCTGCTAATATCCATCTCTTATTGCATACAGCTTTTGTATACACAATTTTGTATCTCATTTAAAAATTCGGTAGATATCAAGTTATTTATGGGGGAGTAAGCAAATGAGGTAAAATTGTAGATTTTTCTCCCAGATATTGATTACATGTACATATTGCCTAAGTCTTCTATACAAACTAAGCTAATAGCTTAGTTTATGGCTAAATAATACATGGTCAATATAAGATAAAATATTTTTTTTTTATCTCAAAACATTCAACTGAATATGCAGCTGAAAATTCAGTTAAATTCTTCTTCCACCTTGAAAATGGACAATTTTCACGAATTGCAAAAAGAATCAAAGAGACAGTTTTTATATACTAGCAAAGTGAAAATTAAACTGAATCTATGGTATTGTGCATGTGCGTTTTTAAAAGCCAACTCAATTACTATAAATGACCTGAATA